CTCTTTCTCTCTCATGTTAAATTTATTAGAGCTTAGGGCCCCAAAACTATAAACTGAGAACAGACTTAAGTCAAAATTTCAATCAAATGAATGTAACTTTTGAAATGATTTTGATAACAAAACAAAATTTTTACCATATCTTTAAAATTGAAGTATTATACAAACCTACAAATTTTTATATTAATGTATGTATGTACATTTAAATGACAAGCTATTCAAAATCAAATTTTGACTAAGTCTATTCTCAGTTAATGATCTCCAGCAAGGTCTCTGGTTCATTAATTCATTCCTATAAATATCCCCCTTTGATACATGCTCAGATTTAAAACCATATACTCGAAGCTATCGTTAGCTGTATTTGCAGCCATTACATGCACATACCAATGGCCAGTACAGATTGATACAACTCTGTGTTCTAGTACATATATGAAACAAAACTCGAGCTTTTACAGGTACATACCTACGGCCAGTAGAGGTTGATATACACTCCAGTTCTTTGTGGTGAGGGGTGGACACATGCGTAGAGAACTTATAGGGGAGACCACTCCATTTAAAAGTCCAGTCATCACAAACTTCAAGGCCACAGCGCGACCTTTAAGCACCGAGGGGTGATCATGGTTCACGACAGGTAATCGTCCAATCATATCGGAGAGTGAGAGTTGAGGGGGAGGAGAATTGGAGACGATGGGAAATTTTGACTTGGAATCCAGCTGTGGGGATGTTTCTATTTCAGTCTGAAAATAAATAACAAGATTTTTTTTTATTTTTGTTAATGGTACAATTTTTCTTCTATAAAAATTTGGGCAAGCACAAAAACTTCATTGTAATAATCTCTTGACGCTAATTAATTTCATTGCCAAAAACATTTTGATTTGTATTAAACCACTTTTTTTTATCATATCACATAATGACTGAATACAGTTTAATACCAGCCTTTGATTTGATAGAAAAAGAGACAGCACAATTCAAAAACACCAAATTTAATACTGAATGTTAGACAAATATTCAAAATCCTACCCCTCCATCTAGTAGAATCATATCCCAGAATACAACACGGCTATCTGTCACCACCAATGCCACGGAACTCTCCGTTACCATGCAACATGACATACTGGACACCCGGCTGTGTCGTGTCACCCTCAAACCATCCGACTGACATCTGAGGTCATAGGTCACATCCATAGAAACAGGGGGAGGGGAGTCATCTGTAAAATAGAACATAAATAATGTCTATCCTCCCAATTAATGATGTAGCACTTCAATTAAGTTTGATTAAAGAAAGCATAATTTTCAATTTTTTTCAGATATGATATCTACTTATGGTAATTCACTGATCAACACAGTAGCAAGAATAGTTTAACTAGTTTTAAATATTCATGGGCATTTTCCATTCACAATACCCATAGATTTATCTAAAATTCATCATCCTGTGTATTTTGCAAACAATTACAAGCATCCAAAGTTTTGACAAAAGATACTTTTACGATCTACTCACCAAATGCCCCATGTCCCTCTGAGGCGGGTGTCGTGATAGCGTTTGTTTTCCTGCGTATTCTGGTGGACACACTTCCATTCTCATGAAGACACAACAACACATCCCTTTGTCTAAGGGAGACAATCTGGAAAAAAATCTCAGAGAAGTAGCTTTAAATACACAACATTGAAAGAGAGGTTTGGTTTTATACCATATATTCCAGGGAAGCTAAACGACAGAGTTACCTACATGTATATTATTTATGACTTTGCCTTGTAGATAAATTTTTCTGCACCTTCACAATTAAAATCATTCAATTTTTCACCTGTACAAAAGGTGACCCTGCCCTCTCCATGGGTATAATTACCACGATCTGATTAATCTCCAGGTCTAGGATCAGTATTTCCCGGGGGTACACTCACCTGTATAAAAGGTGACCCAGCCCTCTCCATGGGTATAATTCCCACGGTCTGGTTAATCTTCAGGTCCAAAATCAGAATTTCCTGGGGGTACACTCACCTGTACAAAAGGTGACCCAGCCCTCTCCATGGGTATAATTCCCACAGTCTGGTTAATCTCCAGGTCCAGGATCAGTATTTCCCGGGGGTACACTAGGATGAGGTGGTGCCTACAGGACTGGTGGTGTAACAGCTGGATACAGTCATTGAGAGCCACCTGGTCTGACTCCTCCTTACTGCTCCTGACACAAACACAGACAAAGTTAACACGGGGCAGAAAATGTTCAGAGTTACTTCAATTTTAAAGTGCTTTAGACATGTTAGATGAAGTTTACTTTTGGAATGGATCTCTTTGTTCATTTCACTAATACTGTTTAATTTTTAAAAATTATTACATTTCATGTTTATACTTTGATGGCTTTCCCTCCCCTCTCTCATTTTTTTGGGGAAAAATCTTAATCACCATTTTTTGTCTTCTATGCATCTAGCTGTGACAATATGACAGATTTTCCAAAAGAGCAGATTTATGTTCTTATCATTTACACTTAATATTTATGGCTACATGACTGTACAGATTCGTAATGACAGACTAGTACTCACTTTTTACTGGGTCCCTCCCCCACCAGTATTTTACTCATCCTCTCGGCCAGGTTCCTGGAGGCCGTTCTCTTCTCCACACTACTGGTGGAGCCCTCTGTTTTCAGGTTACTTGCTGTGTAAATAGTATAAACACCAAGTTCTATTATTCCTGAATCTAAATTTGTCCAATCAAATATTGTCATACATGAGAGATACTGACCAGAACTAAAACATCTAAAGATGTTGAACTTTTCGTCATTACTTGAAAACCCTTACAAGAACTTGAGAGACTTGAGTTATACTTACCAGAACTTGAGGGACTAGAGATGTAAAACTTTTTTCCATTACTTGAGGGAGTTTTAGTGACAGAAAAGTCGTCTATGAACACAATACAGTCAGGACCCAGAACTGAAATAACAAAAAGTATGAGCAATGTTGCGTTAAACATGCTTACCCAAAACTCAACTAAACAAGGATTTTTTCACATAACAGACTTAAAAGCATTTATCCAAGTACCAAAACACAGGAAAAACTGGTATGCATGAATTTCCATAAAATTTTATGCAACTTTTTTTGCACTGAAAATACACAAAAAGGAATATGAATGAAATAATACTTTAAATAGATTGTCTTGTTAATACATAATCAGACATATGCAAAATAATAAAGTCATGGAAAACAATGCTACAATTAATACTCACAAGCAACATTTTTAGAGCTGAATGGATCAAATGAGAAAGCCAGCAGAGGTTCTGTGTAGGACTTTTTCCAGAGTTTGGTTCCTGTGTCAGCGTTCCACAGAATGAGGGAGTAGGGAGGGTGAAGGGCTACCAGTAAGTCATGTGATGCATCCTGATAGGTCAACCACTCCATGTCTGTAAAACAAGGTCAAAGGTCAGGTACTTTTATTTATTATTTCATATCATATTTTATCTTATATAGCGAGTAGTCGAATGATGATCACCAGTCACATCTCACCTTGTATTGGCTTGCTTCCCTCAGAAAATTCCGACTTGACTGTTCCCGAGGTAACATCCCACACAATGATTACCCCATTGTTGTCCCCCGAGGCCAGACGAAGGGAGTAAGGGTTCCCTAAGTCATGGTGGTAATTCTCCTTGGCCCATTTCACCTACAAAGTCAATCTCTATATTTTCAAAAAGTTCAAAATTTAGTTCTGACCTTCAAATTAATATATCAAATATAAAATCAGATCATTTTATCCTTAAATTCAGGACCTGTGTATTATCAACAACATCTCTCATATATTACCTTGACAACATTCCCCTTATGTTTAGCTAGCACCTGTAAAACCTGAAACAATAGTGTCATTATTAGTTGAAATACTTTGATTTGCCTATACTAGTACAGTATATTAGGACCTGATCAATGTTTAATTTTTACATTATATCTAAAGGTAAACGTTTGACATGATCTTACATATTGTCTAATCTTAACGAATTATGCTTCAAAGTATAATTCTGATTCTTAAAACAGCATTACACTGTTTAACTTAACCTTTAAGGATAGGGAATCCATTAATAATTTCTTCACAGATTATAATACCATATTGAAAATTTCTAAGTACAGAACAGTTTAATGTTCTATGGAAAAAATGGCCCTTTGCTTTAAGAGGTCATCAAACTACTCCTATTTAGTTTAAGTAAAATACATGTAGTTCTTACTTGTACTGTTTTGGGGTCCACCACTACAATAAACCCCTGACAACCATAGGACAGTAAACCCTGCCAGCCCCTGAAAATAATATTTAAAAGTATACCTGTATAAATTAATTAACACTGCATTGACACATGTATGAAAACAAAAGCTTAGCTTCTACATGCAAGTTTGACCAGCATGTACTTACTGAGAGCTGAGAGACTAGTTTGGCCTTACAAATTAAGTTCTCCCAGGGACCTATCCCTGGTTCTCCATATAGGCCTATATTTTTAAACTTGTAATGTCATTGTCAGAATGAATGATGGCATGCATATTTTTAATTTACATAAACAATATAGCTTGATTTAATCTGCTTGATATTTTTGTGCGTTAAAAAGCGTTCAGAAAGAAGGAAGCAATATGCAACAAGATGATAAAAAGGAATTAGAGGAAATTCGGGATGTCAACAATAACCACGTTTATTACCAGTCTGACGCCCCCTTATTCTGGGCGTTCAGGGCCCCCGTGATAACCTTCGGTGACAACTTCATGTTAACATGTCTCCTAATGTCGTGATGCATGAATTTTTCACTTTCTTTCAGTCCCTCTGGGTTGTCTGCGTTTCATTTCCGGCTGAAAGGAGAAATAAGAAATCGATAATTTTGAAGAGCTGCGAACCTTATCGTATTTTTACTTATATTGAATTAATAATAAAATGTGAAATGGTTTAACAATGGATCAAAACGTTGATGCAAAAATTAAATTAATTTATGCAACTTTATTACGACTTTTGTCAACTTTAGTTTTTACCGGACTTAGTCCGATTTCAGTTTAACTTTTACCATTTTTAGATTAACCCGAGTTTCCTAGAGAAAAATTAGATGTACACGTGTACCACCGTGTTAATCTACATTTGATCATTACATTAGGCAACTTTGCTAAACTTTGTTATTCAGACATGTAAAAATGCACGAAATAAGGTAAAGATGGTCACTAATCAGTGACTTTAAGTCTTAAGTAAGTTGAAGTGTGTCTAATCTGCCTGTTAACAAACTGACCTAAAATATGTTAATTATATTGCCAGAGACATTATTATCTCATTATTGCTAATCTTATCTTAGTGTGATCAGAAAAATCTGCTATGCCATTGTGACCAGTGATATCATTATTTTGTTCTTGTTCCTGAATCCACTCTTGATAAAACAAAATTATTCTTTGAAACGTGTTGTGAAAGAGTCATGCATGGTCAAATTTTATGAGTTTTTAAGGAAGACACCTTTCAGAAATTGGTGAAAAAAAAAGAATTAGTGTAATGTGAAGTGGTCACCCATCCAAGCATTAAACAGGCTCATCATTGCTGAACTTGTCCGAAATAGAGGAAGACTCTTAAAGCTGTCACTATAGTGAGGCAGTAAAAGTTCCAATCTAATTAAAATTAGATGTTAGATCCGCTCTCGCCTACTCGCTCCACTACGTACATTAGGAAAATAAGATGCAGCAGCAGCAGCAAGCCTGATTGCCTCGGTGATCTGAGAATGAATTCTGGTCTGATTTGTCACATTTTCCCCTCTGTCCTGTTACATTTGGTACTGTGTCTTGCCCTGGAATTGACAGCAGAAAGTATAATATATGTTAATTTTCACAATTTGACAAAAAAGTCAATGATTTTCCCCATTCGAGAGGGAGTGGTCCCGGTACTAAAAAGTATCATAAAATTAACAGCGCTAAAAGTATAATAAAATTAACAGCGCTGACCTGCCAGGGAAGAGCCCGGGTTGGTGTCCTTGGGGGCTGAAGACCTTTTAGGAGGGCAGGATGTTGCGGTCAGACACATTCAATAGCTACATTTATATTGGCAGAAAGCCCTTTGGTAGAAGCTGACTGGAGATTCTTACGCGCAGAGCCGCCCCTGTTCAAATCCCAGTCTGATCCTTCTCATTTTTCTCCTTTTACACTTTATTTGTGGAAAATATTTTTGTTTTTCCAGAAGAACACATTCTCTTCATGTTAAGCAAGTTTTACTTATCATAAATATGCAATAATTTTAAATATCAAAGAAACATTGAAACTGCACACATTATTAAATTACTTTTTTCCATATATTTTTTTCAGTAGTTCCTGATAAATGGTCATTTAGATCATTTTCCAGCACTGTACAGAAATGGAGACTGGACACCAATCTCTAGCATTAGAGATTCTGATTCGTATAATTCTCATTGTTACATTTCAGTAAGTTTATTCATTATGCACTTTTTGTACATGTATAATGCATTTGAAAATCAAGATAATATCTTTATATTTTACATGTTCTACTACAGTCCAAACTGAATACTGTACTGTAATGTTCATTTTTAGCTCTACTGGTCAGAGACCAGAAGAGCTTATGCGATAGTAATGCGTCCGTCGTCCGTCCGTCTGTCTGTCCGTCTGTCTGTCTGTCTGTCTGTGAACAATTTTTCAAAATGCTACTCCTCCTACAGTTTTGGTCCGATTTCAATATAACTTGGCACACAAGTAGACTACACTAAGATACATAATTCTGTGCATCGGTTTTTGATTTCGATGAACGGTGTTGCCGTGGTTACTAAAAATAGAAATTTCTGTGAAATTCTTTCAAAATGCTACTCCTCCTAAAGTTTTGGTCCGATTTCAATATAACTTGGCACACAAGTAGACTACACTAAGATACATAATTCTGTGCATCGTTTTTTGATTTCAATGAACGGCGTTGCCGTGGTTACTAAAAATAGAAATTTCTGTGAAATTCTTTCAAAATGCTACTCCTCCTACAGTTTTGGTCCGATTTCAATATAACTTGGCACACAAGTTGACTACACTAAGATACATAATTCTGTGCATCAGTTTTTGATTTCAATGAACGGTGTTGCCGTGGTTACTAAAAATAGAAATTTCTGTGAAATCCCTTTCGAAATGCTACTCCTCCTACAGTTTTGATACGATTTCAATATAACTTGGCACACAAGTAGACTACACTAAGATACATAATTCTGTGCATCGGTTTTTGATTTCAATGAACGGTGTTGCCGTGGTTACTAAAAATAGAAATTTCTGTGACATTCTTTCAAAATGCTACTCCTCCTACAGTTTTGATCCGATTTCAGTATAATTTGGCACACAAGTAGACTACACTAAGATACATAATTCTATGCATCAGTTTTTGATTTCGATGAACGGTGTTGCCGTGGTTACTAAAAATAGAAATTTCTGTGAAATTCTTTCAAAATGCTACTCCTCCTACAGTTTTGATCCGATTTCAATATCACTTGGCACACAAGTCGACTACACTAAGATACATAATTCTATGCATCGGTTTTTGATTTCGATGAATGTTGCCTTGGTTACTAAAAATAGAAATTTCTGTGACATTCTTTCCAAATGCTACTCCTCCTACAGTTTTAATCCGATTTCAATATAACTTGGCACACAAGTTGACTTCACTAAGATACATAATTCTGTGCATCGATTTTTGATTTCAATGAACGGTGTTGCCATGGAAACTAAAAATGGAAGTTTCTGAGAAATTCTTTTATAATGCTTCTCCTACAGTTTTGGTCCGATTACAATATAATTTGGCACACAAGTAGACTATACTAAGATACATAATTCTGTGCATGGGTTATTATTTTGATGAGTGGCAAGGATCATTTTTCTATTTATTGCTGTTTTAAAGTTTCAAGTCCCAACTGCTACTTTTCTCTTCCTTTGTTTTAAGTATAAACCAGTAGAGCTACAGTCTCAACAGAGACTTCTGGTTTTCACAGCAATAAAAAACCTCAGGAGTTTTAATTGCATTCAGATTTTTGGATTTGGTTAATATTGGTGATGATTACAATACAAATCATATTTTACAAAGGTAATTCATTACTGGTACACATGTACTCATGCAGGTTCTAACAACCCTTTTTCTTCTCAGTTTAACAGATGATGCCGTTCCATACTTTAGGAAGATTCAGAAAGAAGAGCAATGGCTATATAGATACCCTAGGACCCCCAGCTTCTACCCGGGATATATACTATGGGTCTGTGTTTAAAGATTTGGCCTAGCATTTTTACTCCGCCCTCTGTGTGGCAATAGCACAGAAATTTTCAGTTGAAATTCCCTATCTTAAGTATTTTAACCTGGATATCTTGAATCCTGGATTGTCTTGAAGTTTTTCCTTTGTCCCCTTGAGTCTGAGATAACAAGGTTTGACTGTATTTTATGATGTAACGGATTTAGTACAATGATCTGTAAATGTTTACAAAGATGATCATTGATTCCATTGTATCCCCCTCTTCAGGTGACGGTGTTGACAGTGCCTGTGATGATGGTCCTGATTTTCTTCCTACTCCGGCGAGACAGAGTGGACGCCAAGCAAGCTCTCCTGTGTAGGTATAGTGACAGGAAGATATCTCATGTGTGGCTAATTAATTAGGATATCAATTAAGTTAACTTAAAGCTGTAATATTACCAGTTCTGATCTCTCTAATTCAGAGCAAAGCACAATTTAAGGGAGATAACTCTTCATTTAGTTTTGTAATAAAGTCTGCATGGTTTTATCTGAAAAAATCTAGATATTAAAAATGTTTAATTTGGATTTTGGGTGACTAAAGGAAGAGTCATGGTATTAACAAGCATTATTATACCTCTACTGATTTTAAGATTTTTTTAAATAGATCTCTTAAAATCACTCTGATTGGACTTATTCCAGTTTTGCCGAGCTTTAATCAAGGAAGCTACTTGCTTCTATAGCTAATTCTTGATCATTTGTCATCTTTGTATTTGTATAACATAATTTCATGTTAATTTCATTGAGGGAGTTAGCAATATTCAAGTTCCTCTGATTCAGGATTTTTTTCTCTCGGCTTTGTCTCAGGAAATAGACCTGGTCTCGGTGAGAAACCACTCTGTCACAATTTAAGGGAGATAACTCTTCATTGATTAAGTTTATGTCTTAAAAAAAATCATATGATTTTCATTTATCAAGAATATTATCTACCCGGTAATAATGTGTCTGTGATATAACTGCATTTATATGTACATGAATGTATTTATCATACAGTTTTATAATCTGATACCTGTACAATACTAGGTGCATCCCTGGCCATTTTTCTGACTGGGTGTGTCACCAATTTCATCAAGCTGGGAGTAGGAAGGTTTGTATACTATCTGAGGTAGTTATAAAATTACATACAATACTAGCTACAAAACTCTCATGAAAATCCTTTGAGTTATAGAGGGATAATCAGGCCCATTTTTCTTTAGACCTCGGCCGGATTTCTTGGAGCGGTGTTTTCCTAATGGACAGATTCGTGACGATATGAATTGTACGGGGAGAGCTAAGGACGTCATTCAGGGCTACAAGAGCTTCCCCAGCGGACATTCCTCTTGTAAGTTCAGAGTCTCTTTAAATCTTGTATAAACTACTTTTATATATTAAGATACTGCACAACATAATTACCATCAAATTCCTTATTTCAATGAAGAGTGTGAAATTTATTGCCAAGGAATTATTTGACTATGTTGCAAGATGTTTCTTTTTTCATGCATTTTAATTTATACGAGGAGGTACAATACTCCCTTGTGTTATTTTTGTAAATATTTTAATAAACACTTTTTTAAAAAAAAAATTTCAGTTGCTTTTTCCAGTCTGGGATTCACGGCCCTGTACTTTGCTGGTAAACTTCACATTTTCAACAGGAATGGTCACGGGAATTCCCTAAAGATCTGTCTGTTTGTCTCTCTGCTGATCTGGGCCACAATGATAGCTGTGTCAAGGACAGCAGACTTTCATCATCACTGGCAAGGTCAGTTCAAGGTCACATTTGTTATAATGTTTGACTTCTTATACTAATTACATGTCTTTGAGTCTTTAATATACTGGAAAAAATGTCCCACTATTGAAGTAAGAGACTAGATGAATCTGTAAGTTTTTAATATTTATTGAATATATTTTTTTGTATCTAAATGTCACAGATTGTCGAGCGGATTTAATATTTCTTGTTACTTTACTAAATTTAAATATAACTCAAATACTTTTTTTTAAACTTTACATATTTAATTACAAAAAAGTGTACAAATTCAACAAAGTCCATTGCTGCTTGTCCTATTGCGTCGTGCTACCGCCTTCCACAATACTGGCTAGAGGAACTCTAGGGCCCAAGGGTCGTTTCCCTTTTACGCACCACTCGGAACAGGCTGACTCACTACAAGGCACTGGGTGGCCTTCCACACCGTCTCTACGTAGACTTATACCATGGATAGATGGAACCTGCTCCAACATACATATACAAGTTTTATTGATAAGCGCTTGTGGCTTGACACAAATACATACTTCACTCATTATCAAACTTGTGGATAATGTACACGTCTTAGATAAGACTAATTACACAAAAGAGTTGTTTAAAATATGCATACAACTCTTACACAAATGCAATATTGCGAATTGCTACTACACGGACAAACTTTTATGACGGAAATTGTACACCATAGTTTAGAAATATTCAAATACGTGTTACTATACATAGAAATACAATTATGAACGAAACATACATGCTTAAAATGATGAGAAATGTGGTTACTGGATGTTTTAGGACAAATGAACGCAAAATGAAAATAATAAAGATAAAATTATAAACATAAACCTTACCTCAGAAAAGCTGGACCATAACATACAGGAAATACAGAGGAAGCAATCCCTGCAAGTATTACTGGTACTCGGTGTAATTATAATTTCTAATTACAAAACATATCAGATATCTATATGTATGAGAGAGGGGTAAAAGCGTCCTCCTCTCTGGACTGCCGTGTCCAAACTATCTTGCACGGACTGGCGGGTTTAAAGGTCCAGTAAATTGAGGTTCAATAAAGGTATATACAGTCTAAAAACAAAGGGGTTCCACACGGGATATTTACATAAAATTAAAATACTTCCACAAAATTATAATATTGGAATTTTAATGTGACACTAAACATTTCTTTAAAAAGCTGTTTAGAATTAATAGAGCATTATTAAATTTATATAAAACATTTCCTTTCTGATTTTCCTTTCTAGATGTGACAGTAGGCAGTCTCCTTGGGATGACCTTGACCTACTTTTGTTACCGCCAGTATTACCCAGCTCTGTCACGGTCGGTGTCTCACCTGCCGTATATTTCGTTGCCCTCAGAGCGTGATCTCATTCCTACGTCACCTGAACACATGATAAATAAAGTTGACCACGTGGACTCACTCTTAAAAATGGTGTAATGCCGAAGACCTTTTTATCTTTATATTGAACAGAGAGCTTATACATATTGTTGTTATTCGCTATAAGTGGTATACCTCTTTGGTTTGCTTTCTTTTTTATGCTGAGAGTTATCTATAACGCATGTAAAACAAGTACATACTGTTAAATGTATTTATATTCCAACTTTTACTTCTCTTTGAAAAGTCTTATAAAGTTAAATGTGTTAATTTTTGGATATTAACAATTGAATGCAAATTTCGCTAAGTGAAAGGGCAAGTGCCTAGTATGCAATTCAATCTTTCGTGACTAAAAATATAGAATAATGTTTCAATTACAAACAAATTATTCCATATGTCCAACTGTTGATACCCAAAAAACTAGACAGTGTTTCCTTAAATGTACCTATTTTAATATAAATTATATTTTCATGCAGCCTCAAATCTGCTACCGAACAACAATTACAAGCAAATACATGTATACATATTGTTCCTCATGCAGACTTGAATGAGCTTATTTATGATTGTGTACACTTGTAACTGGGATTAAAGAATTAGAGGAGGATGTTGTTTATAATGATGTGGTATATGTTTTATAGATTAAATGTCAGTTGTGTATGTACTTATCTAAATAATAAAAATGAATCAATGAATGCTAATAAAAAATAAATGTGCTAAACTAATTCTGATCAAAAGATGCTGAAATGTGGTATAAACATGATATTTTCATATTTGTAACTGTGATGTACTTGTATGGTTTTATTTATTTTGTTTATGAAGACTTATAGAAGTGAAGGAGATTGAGTAATTCTTCGAAGATATTATTTATTGATCAGAATAATAACAATTAAGGACCAAAAAAGTTGTTCTGTATGTGTGTTTGAGTGTGTATGATTTTATGGATGTGTATTTAAAAAATGGACTATAATTGCCTTTTCTTTATTTGCTGATTTATTGCTTTTAATTATTTATTGTCAAATACTCAACCTCAGGTCTTAAATAACTGATAAAAACATTTTTCATTGTATATTTTTGTTCAGAGATCTAGATATAATAGGATGTTAAATTATTTTAGACATATTTAATGTACTATGTATATTATATTTCTTTACTTAAAAGTTATTTGTTGAATAAATCATCTGTAAATTTGAATCAAGAGTGTTGAAAATTAATGCAATTGTTTTTTTGGTTTTTTTTGTATAGGCATACAATTGAGACTTACAATCAATGTGTCATATGAAATTAATTGTAGATTTAATTGTAGATTTATGTTTGACAATTGAATACAAATATCTGATTCTGCATGGCAGAATGATAAAATAAAGTAAGAATTCTTTAATCTGCAAAACACTATATAAATCCTCTAAGATTAAGATATTTCTGCATTTTTCTCCTGATCATAAACAATCATAACTACTACAATTAATTGTTATAAAAACAATTTAGAGTCACAAACAATTCTTTTATCTGTCCTAAAAAACATGATCATCAAAGATAAACCTGGTATTGTTAAAACAACACTTGTACAGGATTTGAGCACCAAATTACTACTCCAACCAAGCCAGACCATTAACCTTCACTCAAACCCTTCTTCAAAGGAAAATTAAACAATTAACAAATTGATTGTTTAATTACCATCAAAAGTTACCTACAGGACCACTCGACCAATAGGATTGTGGTATTTTGTATATTTCACCCAATCAAATTTTGAGTTCAAAATTTCTTGAGTAAAGGGAGAGAAATTTTGCTGAAGATTTATTTTATTTTTCTTGAAGTCCTAAAGCCAAAGAGAAGATTTTCTAGAAGCCTTTCAGATAGTAAGTAATAATATTGCTTCACTTAAAAAATATGTGTTCAAATATTGCTATTTGATTTAATTTGCTAAAAAACTGATTTTTTTTTCAAATTAATTTTTTTGAAGTAAGAATATTTAATTTATGGAATGAATTGTTGTGCATTTGTCTAAATTTTCAAAAACATTTCTTAATGCCAAATTATTTGATACATTAAAACTATTGTATCTGCTTATTATGGAGTTTGTTGCATGACATTTGTGATTTAGAGAAAAAAATCTCGATGTCTGTACAAAACAGTATAGAGAGGATATTAATAAAATATTTACAGTAAAGCAATAAAGCATGCGTGAGACAAAGAAAAAGAAATGGAAAAACATTGGGGGAAAAAACGACAATGTAATTATATCAGAATAACTTTATTTATAATATTATTAGTTAGATACATTTACTAGTTTTAGATAATAATTAGACACCCCTCCACAACATCACACGAAATTTAAAATGATTTTGGAGTTTTGGCCATTTCAAACACTTTTTAAAAACTTTTTTAAAAGATTTTTTTGTCCCCTCCTGAAAACAACATAATTTTTACGGTACATGGCATAAATTGTTATGCACTTTGGAAATACTGAAAATCAAAAGTGCTCCGTTCGAGAATTATAAATGATTGAGGTGCATTTTAGATTGAACAAAAATTATATACATGTATTCCATTTGTTTTCACTCAAAGTAATATTTCAATTCTAGATGATGAAATTTCTCCTTTAAATCATAGCTAAAATCATTCCTACATCATTCAACTTCAAAATAACATTTCTTGCGTTTCGATTATTGTCAAAGAAGAAATATCTCATTTCCAACATCAGAAATCGTACGTATGGAAGCTAGAAATGTGCACAAAGATTTCAGTTTTAAATACAAATTCAATTTTGAAAGCCAGTCGAGGGGAGGGGGATCGGCAAAATCAAAATGGTGTGTCCCAATAATACGCTCAGATACGCTGTACGAATTTCTTCTATACACTGAAAGCAAAGTCTTTCTTACTCTAAATTGTAGATTAAAATTTTCCAAAGAGCCCCCCCCCCCTCTTAATAGTTTTTCGGCATTTCCATGAAGTAAAACCCCCAAAATTATACATGTAATTCTTATCTGTTAACTTTTTATTTATTTAATTGAAATACTAGAAACGTTTCATGATTTCCCGCATCTTGTCAAAATAGTAAAGTTCTAAATACAAGAAAGTACAGTGCTGCCTTAAACAATTTTCACTATACAGGATATGAATTATTTGCGCTTACTTTATTTTTTCTTTATTTTACCTCTCTCGTTTCCAGGAATGGATCTGATGTTCAGTCCCTACCCTGACTGCTACCCCACCCCTGTCATCAGCATACAGGCCCGGGTCCACCCACCGCCCCACCCCGCCACAACGCAACAGACAAAGTAAGTACAGTTACATGTAGTAATTCCTTGTTCTTTAGGACATGATGGTTTTGTATATGATTAGTATCGCAGGTGTGTGTGCGTTTCCACCATTTCTATTGAAAATGTTCATTGAAAGGGTGGTTCCCTCTTTTATTGGGCAGTTTGAAACGTCATTTTCAATGATGAATCTTATGAAAAATATCTACGAATTCACAAAGTAATCTAGATGAATATATTCAACTTTTTTTTTTTAAATGAATACATAAATTAGAAATAAAACTCTTTGTTTTAAATGATTTTTTTTTTAAAGTATGATGATTTTTTATTGGATAAGTTGATACACATCGTATTCAAAATCCTTAGAGATAAGATGGATATTTTTCATGTCAGCTTGATAATTTGTGTTTCTGATGTAAGGGATCTCTCATTAAGGGTGCTACATTGTTGGGTATAAGATCATCTGTAATATAACACGAACCCCAGCCCCCCCCCCCCCCCCCCCCGCGGGCGGTAGCTTTTTACGAAGGTTGAAGTTTCTCTATTACAAGTCGAAGTCGAATACTGGTCGTGAAGAAAAATACTGTGACCTAAAAAAATATCTTGTTCCAAAGCATATACTTGTACATGTGAAACATAAAGGTCCAAGCACTAACCTTTCAAAATCTATGGCCAGAGTTAAAGGAGTAGATATCTTTTTGGGTCAAACTCCAAGGTCAAGTATAAGGGTACAAGCAAATTCAAAGAATTGTGGTCCCCCGCTTTCGGTGTCTTTGTGGGTGAGATGTTATTTTTTATGACATATTGTGTGTAATATGAACCATACTATCATATGTCATTTATTTAGAAAGTAACACTGAAGTTGATTTTTTTTGAAGGATGAAAACCCTAATCCTGACCGTTAAAAAGTTATGGCCAAAGTAAAATGTTTTTTTAAAAGTAGGTCAACTCCAAGTTCAAGATCAAAGGGTCAAAGTTGTTGATATCCAATGAAAGGTTTTCTCACAAGGATTACATATGTGAAGTATAAAGGCCCTAGCCCTTACTGTTCAAAAGTTATGGTCAAGGTTAAAGTTTTTTTCATAAGTACGCAAATCTTTAAGGTCAAGGTCAAAATTGTTGAAATCCAATGAAAGGACTTGCCACAAAGAATACATATGTGAAATATAAAAGTCCTAGTATCTACTGTTCAAAAGTTGTGACCAAAGTTAAATTTTTTTTTAAAAAGTAGTTAAAACTCCAATGTCAAGGTCAAAGGGTAAAAGTTGTTGGTATCGAATGAAAGGTCTCAAAAGGATTACATATGTGAAGTATGAAAGCCCTAGCTCTCACCGTTCAAAAGTTATGGTCAAGGTTAAAGTTTTTTCATAAGTACGTAAATCTCAAAGGTCAAGGTCAAAAGGTCAAGGTTGTTTGTATCCAATGAAATGTCTTGCAAGAAGGAATACATTTGTGAAATATAAAAGTCCTAGTATCTACTGTTTAGAAGTTGTGACCAAGGTTAAAGTTTTTGAAAGTTGTTAAAACTCCCAGGTCAAGGTCAAAGGGTAAAAGTTATTGGTATCCAATGAAAGGTCTTCTCACAAGGATTACATTTGTGAAGTACGAATGCCTTAGTCCTCACCGTTCAAAAGATATGGTCAATGTTAAAGTTTTTTCATAAGTACGTAAATCTCCAAGGTCAAGATCAAAAGGTCAAGGTTTTTGTTATCTAATGAAAGGTCTTGCTACATACAATACATATGTGAAATATGAAAGTCCTAGTACCTACTATTCAAAAGTTATGGCCAAAGTAAAATGTT